GCCTAACTTGCCAACCCTTCAAGTGCCAGCCAGATCCAGCTTCGTGGACAGCCGATTTGTTCAAAATGCTGGCACGCCGGCGCCTCGGCCTGTTGCCTATGCTGCACGGCAAAAGCTGGAAGATGCCAGCAAATCACATGGAAAGGACTCCATCCTAACTACTCCATTCAATCTTCAACTACTCTCCCTCAGCATCAGCACACTGCATCCGACTCACTGAAATCACTGGATTCGGAGGTTTGAGCTTGGGGGTACCTCTTGACCGGGCTGTGGTAAGATTCACCTGGCAGGGCACCAACAGAACAGCAGCAAACTCTCAATGATTTCTGCATATGTCTGCCGCAAATCAACGAATTCATTGAGATTGGCAGATTTTACCCACTGGATCGCTTGGGATTGGCAGCACGCCACACCCCCAGCAGGCAGTTTATTTGATGGTTTCATCAGCTGACTCAAATGTCACGAGTGTTGAGAGAGACACGTTCCTAGCAGAGCTAGGCACCTGGTCAAGGAGAATAGTCGGGCAAGGGTGTACAAGAATAAAACTAAAACAAAAACTTCATTCATGCATTACCGATGTAACATGAAGCTGATGAATCTGTGCAATGCTATGCATGTAAAGGTGCGTTACGTGCGCACGAGTAAGTCGATCTCATTCACCCTGCTATCTCAACCCCACTCTGCCACCCCGGCCGTGTGTGTGCTGATCGATGCCACTGCGCTCGTGTTCCTCAGGGATCCTCAACTTCATCACCAGCCGCAGCACCACCACGATGAGCGCCGTGCCGAGGGCGGAGAAGGCCACACCAGCCGCAGCGCCAGCGATCTGCTTCCCCAACAGTTCCTGGTTCCACACAACATCCATCAGATCCATCAGAATCGATGTAATTACCAAACTCGAAATTGAGCAGACTGAAGTCATGAGATGTTAAGCATGCCCTGCCCCAACGCATCCTGGATAGCCAGCCGAGTCACGAAGCTTCCCGTGTAGATCAGCCCGCCATCCAGCGCGAAGATGCCCGTCAAGATGGCACCGCCAATGCCGCCCATGCCGTGCAAGCCGAAGGCGTCCAAAGTATCATCCACCAAGTTGATCTGATCGAAGCATCCAATTTGAGCGCTGTGAGCGTGTCAATTGTACAGTGTTTCCTGCCTCTGCCTTTTTTCACCCCCAAAGAAGGACATGGACATCCATACCCCAGGAATATACTTACTCCACCAGTCCAACCATAAAAACAGCATAAAGATACGTTCGCCCTTGGGCCTTGGCCATTGGCTCTACTCTAAGTTGAGGGGTCTCGACTCTCTCCGAGACGGGAGTCCAAAATAGTCCAAACGGGCCCCCCGGAGACCGCTCTTTGGAGCAGCGAGATGGCGACCTAGAACTGTTCATCCCATCAAACACCTTCAAATAACTCCAAATACATTCTCCTGGCCCCCATCAAACACGAAGTCGCATTCCAAACGGTTTTACCCAGCCTTGTTCACGACCTCTACAGACAAATAGCACCAAACGGCTCCGAGTGCACCAATGGCAATGCTCCACCCAGGGGTCACGAAGCCAGCACCAGGGGTGATGCACACGAGCCCGGCCACTGCACCAACAGAAGCACCCACGCTGCTGGACTTGCCCTTCCTTCGGTATGATGCCAATGCACCAATGAGATCAACGAGCCGAATGTCAGCTTGCAAAAACAAGCTGCTCGATTGCTGCACCAAACATACCAAACCATCTATCTACACATCTATCTCTATCTCTATCTCTGTATATATAACTCATTATAACTCTCACTCTGAAGTCTGTGTGTATTACACTGTTGCCCCCATCATTCATGTCACCAAGCTTCAGCAAACGCTCCAAGATCAACCACGTCAGCATCGAGGCCGCGGCTGCCACAAAGGTCGTCGCCAC